TATTAAAGATTAACTTACTACAGTGAACATTAAAACAAAAATGCCTGATACCTAAATATTTTTAAATGTTTATTTCTTTTCCTGTCTCCCACTTCAACCAGAGTAGAAAATCAACAAAGAAAATGCCCAAGAAGGAATTTGTAACCAGTGGAAGCACACTTTCTATTAGGTAAATGGATATATATTCCCACAACTGAGGCGTCATCAAACCACATTGTAAGCCTACAATAAATTATACTTAACAATTTATAATCATATTAATAGAACAGCTGGCATTTATTGAGCACTTACTCTTACTGCACAATTACTGTGCACTAGGTAATCACGGCTCAGTGCAGGTTGCAGAGTGCCCCTCTCAGAAGAGGGTTTAGTGCTGTGTGGTAACCACATTGGAATTCATAACATGGTACAGTGCCTTTGAGCTTTTGTTCTGAACGTGAAGTCTGATGGAACATGGAGAACACACTGCACTGGATTTCGAGTGAGTGGATTTAGAACCTCCACTCACACTTACTCCTGCCTCTTGTCACCTCCCACTCACCTCCCTGACATGAGTTCTCAGCTGCCTGTCCCCACCTCCCCTATCCAGCCCCTACCCACTACCCAGTCCCCCCAATTCCATGGGGCCTGATGCAAGCACAGGGAGAGGTAGGGAAGCTGTTTATGCCAAGTCATGGGACAGAGTCCTACACCACTGAGGCAGTCTGAACACACCTTGTATCACCAAACCCAAAGGATTACAACAGTAAGTAGCAAATGAACAATAAACATTGTGATAAACTCATAATAGTTAAATCTTTGAAGCAGCCTGTTGGGTCATCAGCAGATGAATGGATAAAGAAAATGCGTTTATACACAATGGAGTGCTGCTCTGCCAGAGAAAGAAAACTTGATCGTTTGCAGGAAAATGGATGCACTTTGAGATCATAGTGTTAAGTGAAATAAATCAGACACACAAGCTTAAATATCACATGGTTTCTCTGTTTTTGTTGGTGTGTGTGTGTTTTGTTTTTTGGGTTTTTTTGTACCAGGGATCAAACTCAGTTCCTTGCGCTTATAAGGCAGGCAGCAGAACCATTGAGCCAAATCCCCAGCTTCACATGGTTTCTCTTAAATGAGAAACCCAAAGTATAAGTAAGTTAAAGTCCAAAATAAATGACAGATAATAGGAACAAGAAGATAGATCTTTTTACTAAATGGAAAGGGGGCTGAGAGATGGAGGGAAGGGAAGGGAAGGGAGTGGAAAAAATTAAGTTGTGTTATGTACATGTACCACCTCCTCATGAGGAATATCATTATGCACTACAAAAGTATAGATAATTTTTTTTAAATCAGCATGATAGGTTGCAAAAAGTTGCAGAAGAAGGGAAAAAGTTATGCCCCCTCTTTTTAAACAAGAGGTCCTGCATTTTCATTTTCACTGGCCCCCATAAATTGTGTAGCCAGTCCTGGGACTATTATTACTGACACTTCACAAAAGTGGACACCGAGGCTCGGTGCTTTGCTCAAAATTGCACAGCTGTCAAGCAGCAGCATACAGAGAGAGACTTAAAGCCATGAAGACAGAGGACTCCAGGATTTTAAAGCGCTTTAGCCCAGGAATTAGGAGACCTCTGTCTACCTTCAGACCATGACCATGGGCAAGTTGCCCACTCTGTGCCTCATTTTCCCCCAAGTGAAAGTACTCTGTAGAGTCTTCCAAACTAGCATGGGTTCCAAGATTTGGCTCTGCTGTTTATATAGACACAAAGGGATCACCTTAGTCCCCCACCTTCCCTAGAGCTACCAGGAACATTTAGCAGAAGACAGCCACCCACACTGCATGACAATTCATGGCATATAAAGTACTTTCATGCCACTCCCACCTCCCAAACAACACTGAGAAGAAGGCTGGGCAGGGATGTTTTTATCCCCATATTACAGACAGGAATGAGAATTGTAAACGTCACTACCCCTGGCTCACACTGCTTTTCAAGCAAGTTTTGAATAGGTTAAGAGGAACCCACAGTTACACAGTCATCATATGAATACCCCAAAGGAAAAAAAAGCTGGGTCACCACTTTGGGCAGTCCTGCCATGGGAGGGCAACACTGGCCTCCTCTCAGGACAGGAGCCCAAGCTCTAAGGGCTCTAAGCGGGGAGGCCAGAGAGCTATCTAAGAGCTCCTGAAAGAAAAGAAATACCAGGTCAGCGGAGTTCAAAGGGTAACTCACCATCTGGGGAATGTTTGCCCAACTCAGGAAAGGTATAATCTTTAGAGGATAAACAAACACGCAGACAGAGGAACAGACATAAGGACAGAGTCCCAGCAGAAGCACCAGCCTCTCCACTCAGGCCCAGGTCACTAGCCAGTCCTGAAGGAGGTCACCTCCTGAAGAGAGGGCAAGGCCAGCTTAATCAGAACTTGGATTCCTCAGTCCCTGTTACCTTTGTAGGGACACAGCATCTACAACACAAAAGGGTCATTCACGCTGGTGAGCCATCTCTCTGCCTGAAAATTCTAGTGACCACAAGGTGAGTCTCTGAAATAGTTCCAGAAATCTAGAGCCTCACCTGTCCATTCCCAACCCTTTAGGGAAGAAGTACTAGTGCCAAACTGTCCAATAAAACTTTCTTTGCTGATGGAACTATACATAAAGCTATTGAGCACAGTGGCCAGTAATACTGAGGGTACCAATTTAAACTTTTAGTTTTATCTTAAGTTAAATGTACATTTAAATTGCTGTATGTAGCTAATGGCTACTGCATTTGGGAAGCCCGCTCTAAATAAATAAAAATGGAACATCTGCACCATGATTTGGGACTTCAAAAGCACTGGCACAACAGTCTTCTTATTGTCCTGTGAAATAGATGTTTATACTTATTTTACATCAGGGGAAAATGAAAGCCCAGAAAAGTTAAATGGCTTCCATAGTGACAGAGCTAGTGTAAGAGGCATGATTTAATCCCAGATCTCTTGATTCCAAAATTCTACCTACATCTCTATGCAGCTCTGCCCATTTGTGTAATCATCACATATTTATTGGGTCACTGTTGTTAGGTGCATGCCTCTGTTCTGCACAGTTAGAGACAAATCAGGCATAGGCTAAGGCTTTGGGTGGGAATCCCAAGACAAGGCAAGGTAATTGCCACAATAAAAATGTGGGTATAAAAATTACTTTAACTGCCTTTGTTCCAGGCAAATGTTCCAGGCACTTTGCCTTAAATACCATTTATGTCTGATGACTCTTCTGCTTATATTTCAAGACCCAATCTCCCAGAACTTCCAATGGCTATACCAAGAAGCCTAGTGGACCTCTGTATTTGAATATCAAACTGGCTTCTCATGCTTGCCCCAAACCTTCCCCCTCCCAGTAAATGGCAATGCCTTCTTCCAGCTGCTCAGCTTCAAGTTGTCCCATCATAGAGTAATGCATGGCTCTTTTTCCCTTCATGTTTTTCATCTAAACTATTAGCAAATGTTATCTCTATCTCTGTCTTCAAGAAGCATTCAGAATGCTCACTATCCCTAGTGCTTCCACCCTTACCTATCATCTCTATCTGGACTGGGGCAAACTGGTCTCTGTGTGTCTGGCTTTCCTTCATGCTTTTTTTCTACATAGAATGATCTTCTTAAAAAATGAAAAGCTATAGGATGTCTCCTCTCAACTTAGAGCCCCCAGTGGTTTCCCCACATCTTTACAGGAGGCCCTACAAGGGCTGGTCCTGGATGCCTCCTCTGACCTTTTTTCCTATCCTCTTCTTGCTTTTCAGGTCCAACCACACCAGGTCTGCCTGGTCACTCTTGCCTGCACCCATTGTTAGCTTCCTCCCTAGGTTCCTCAGGACCTCTGACCAAAGGTCCACTTCTCAGAAGCACCCTTCATTAACCTTAGCAAGTTTCAGTTTTCCTCACTCACTACCTCCTGACATTTAATATGTTTGTTGGTTGTTGCTGTCCTCCCACTACAGTGTAAAATGCAGGAATAAGTGGGCAGATAAAATATGTGACGCCCCACTGAACTTGAGTTTCGGATATACAAGTCATTTTTCAGTAGGTGGATGTCCCAGATGTTGCACACACACACACACACACACACACACACACACACACACACGTATGGGGGGGGTGCCGGGGATCGAACTTGGGACCTTGTGCTTGCGAGGCAGGCGGAGGCACAACTGATTAAATCACCGGTATTTTTTAAAATTTCACTGTTTTTCTGATATTCAAACTTTACTGGGTGTCCTGTACTTTTATTTGCTAAATCTGACAACCCTATATATGAAGGCAAGGACAGTGGTTATTTTGTTTAGTGCTATATCCCCAGCATTAGAGCAGCTCCTGAAGCGTTGCCCTCAATAAACATATGTTGAATGAATGAATGTGGTCAACTGGGTCACTAATCTGAAATGCGCGCAACAGCGTGGGAGTCGCAGGGGCGGGAGCTCTAGGCTGGGTTAGTCCACTTCGCAACACAAGGCCTGGGCAGCTCAAGATCTCTCCGGGTAGGCCGAGCAGCTGGGTGCATTGACCTCGTTCCTCGGTAAACAAAATCCTGCCCTGGCTCAGGCGAGCCACTAGTAGCCCTCCTGGGGGCGAGGCCTCGCTAACCCGCCGGCCAAACAAGGCGTCCGCCAGAGCCGGGCCCCTTTAACGCCCCTCCTCCCGCCACTACTCGCGCCCTCTGGCGTGACGTCATCATGAGCGACCAATGGGGTCACGTATTACTGACAGGCGGTGCCGGCGGCAGCTGCCAAAGAGGAAGTGAGCTG